GCAATTAGAGTATATTATCTGTCAAAGATCGCGGTTTCCGACCACATGATTGATAAATTTTCAAGAACACGTTTTCCCCGCACTAAATTTCACTTTGTGCCGTTTATGGTCCGCATAATTTTTTTGACGATTTTGTACTATTTCGAGACTCTCCCAGACCAACATGACTTTCTCTTTAGATTGTTGAATAAACTCTAGACTAGTTAGTCTATTTTCACTAACATCATCTCCAAAAATAGAAATTCAATATTTTTGACCATATAAAACTTAAAAAGGAGTCATCTTAATGCTGGAATCATAGCTATTGTTACCACTAAATGTAAGTGTTTCGTCCCAAGAGCCACCAAAGTAAAAAACACAGGACCTCAACATGTTCTCCAAAGTTTGAGTCATTCTCTCAGACTCAACTCTTCTCGTAAACTCCTCTTCCAAAAAGTATACACGAATAAAGTCAACACGTAGCTCTATTTGCAAGTTACCATTAAGATTATACATGCGCCAACCAAATTCAATGATTAGCTTCCTCTTTTTGAAAAAAGAAGAAGAAGAAGATAATTATACTCACAATTATTGGGAAGTAGGTTTCTAATACATCATGCATTTGTCCAATCATATATTATGGACTTTGTTGGATTCGGATCATATTTGCTAATTCTCTATGGCTCACAAAATTGATATGGCCATTTTGCTCCCTTGGACCTCCTCCACTAATGTCATGGAAAAAACACCCAATTAATTATATTTTATGCATGAGTAGGTGTGGTCCTTATTAACCCGTACTAATTACATGAAATGAAATGCAGTTTCTGAATTTGGGGTGGTAACAAATTTGGTATCATATGCATATGCCAAAATTTATAAATTTCCAATACATACCACTTTTCACGTGGATCAATTTTCTCTCTTGGAAATGCCCCAAAAAGCAAATCATATTATAAGAAAAATAAAATGAGAGATACATAGTTTCTGCTGAGACTAACAGGATTTCTTTTCCAACTAGCCATCTTGATTTATGAATGTGTTGACATAGGTCGACCTATGTAACTCCTCATTTTCTGCGTAGGTTATTGTCCCCCTATTCATCCATTTTGAAGAAAATAAAGAATTGATTGCCGTTTTGATATATTTATTTAATCATCATTGGTTTTAATAGATTCACGCAAGCATTTTCTGATAAACTTTCTTACGAGATGAGAACACCGCAAGTGCCACAACTTTCGTACAGCGCTCACTTGAGTGTCATAATTTTTTTTTCGATTATCTGAGTGACATAACTAATGTACGACGCTCACTTAAGTGCTATAACTATTTATCCGATCACTTGAGTGTCATTTAACTTTTCAATCAATCATTTGAGTAACATAACTTTTTAAAAATGTTCACTACAAGTGCCATGCCATGTTGGATTTAGAACACTTGGGTGAACATTTTTTTAAAAAGGGTTAATACCACGAAAAACCCTAAACTGGTACACTTGTGACACATTTACCCCAAACTATTTTTTTTACCACAAAAAACCCCAAACTGGTACACCTGTGACAATTTTACCCCGAACTATTTTTTTGACCACCAAAAACCCCAAACTGGTACACCTGTGATAATTTTACCCTGAACTTACCACAGAAAACCCCGAACTGATACACCTGTGATAATTTTACCCTGAACTTACCACAGAAAATCCCAAACTGGTACATATGTGACAATTTTACCCTGAATTAAATTTTTAATATTAATTTTTATTTTTTCAAATTTTTATTAATTTTTTCTTTTTTTTCTTCATCTTCAACCTCTGGCCGGAGATGTCGGCCCTGCCGGCCGCTGGCGAGGGCGGCCCTCGCCGGCGTCGGGCGAGGTAGCTCTTGCCTGGGCGGGCAAGGACAGCCCTCGCCTGGGCGGGCGAGGGCAACCCTCGCCTGGGCGGGCGAGGGCAACCCTCGCCTGAGTAGAGCGAGGGTTGTCCTCGCCCGACGCCGGCGAGGGCCGCCCTCGCTGGCGTCGGACGAGAACAACCCTCGCCTGGGCGGGCGAGGGCAACCCTCGCCTGAGTCGGGAGAGATCAGCCCTCGCCTGAGTCGCCCTGGCCCACGTCGGCAAGGTCGAGCCTCGCCAGCGGCCGGCGAGGTCGAGCCTCGCTGGCATCGGGCGAGGGCTGCCCTCGCCCATGCCGGCAAGGTCGAGCCTCGCCAGCGGCCAGCGAGGTCGAGCCTCGCCAGCGGCCGGTGGGGCCAACCTTGCCGGCATCCGCCTCTGGCCGGTCGCCGGTCCGGCGACCGGCCAGAGGTTGAAGATGAAGAAAAAAAAGAGAAAACAAAAAAAAAGAAAAAATTCAAAAATCCAAAAAAATAAAAAATAAAATTAAAAAATTAGTTCGGGGTAAAATTGTCACGTGTGTACCAGTTTGGGGTTTTTTGTGGTAAGTTCGGGGTAAAATTGTCACAGGTGTACCAGTTTGGGGTTTTTTGTGGTATGTTCGGGGTAAAATTGTCACAGGTGTACCAGTTTGGGGTTTTTTGTTGTCAAAAAAATAGTTTGGGGTAAATGTGTCACAAGTGTACCGGTTTATGGTTTTTCGTGGTATTAACCCTTTAAAAAATTTGGCATTTAAGTAATCGATTGAAAGTTGTGCCATTCAAGTGAACATTTTTTCAGAAATTATGGCACTTAAGTAACTACCGTACGAAAATTATGACATTTGTAATGTCCTTATCCCCTTTATTACTCCTAACCACCATATCTCCAGGAGTTTCACCCCCCGTACCACAATATTTGAGAGATATGTCTTGTAAAACCCAACTCTTGAGTACTATCTGTACGTAGGGGTGTAAACAGTTCGATTCGATTCGATTTTTAAAAAAAACGAACCGAACTTTTAAGGGTACAACATTGAACCGAACCGAATTTCGCTTGAGCCGAATATAAACCGAACCGAAAAATCAGTTTGGTTCAGTTTAGTTCGGTTTGGTTAAGCTCAATTTTAAGTTTTTTCTTATTTTTTCTGAAAGTGTAGAGAGGCGGAGGAGGGCGTTCAGACCCAACAAGCACAATGAAGTCAAAGTGGACACACGATCTCTATCTTTCTCTCTCGCCCACTTCTCTCTCCCACATCCCCCTCCCCTTTTTTCTTTGTTCTTCTTTCTTTGGTACCCAGTGACGCAAGCGAGAAAAGGGAAGCCGAAGAGGCACCACCACCACCACTTCCCTCTGTTTCCTCCTCTTCATTATCTGTCTCCCCATGCTCGCACGCTCTTGCGCTTGGCAAATCTTGATCCTTCTCAAGATGGGTCTCTCTGTCACTTGATCCCTCCACCGCCCTTTGCCTTCCCTTCCTTTCTCGTGCTAGTTCCGGGATCAATCTTATTGGGTATTTCTGTTTTTTGGGGTGCTTTGTTTCTTCATATGGGTGTCCGAGATTCGTTGTGGTGGTCGTTGCCGAAACCGAAACCGATGCATGCATACTCTGATGCGAACGAGGTAAGATACGAGCATGGATCGACTAGAACAGCAACTTTTCCCACTTGCGCTCGAGAACCCACATCGCATCCGCCTCGAATCCGAGCCATTTCGTCTGAGCTCTCCTTGTCGATCACGGGAACTCCGCAGAATCTCGCTTGTTCGAGCGCCACTTTTGCTAGATCTTCGCCAGCTCTCGTCGCGAGGCTGCCATTGCAGAATGCCGCACGGCCACAGCCGTCTGGGTGCTGGCACGGCGGAGAGAGGGGCTGAGCTGAGCAGCGCTGAGAGAGCGAGAGAGAGGATTTAACCCTTTTAGCTTTAGGGTAAAAACCGTAGGTTATTTTCAGTTCGATTTCGGTTTGATCCGAACCAAATCGAAATAAACCGAACTGAAAAAAAAAAGAATGGTTTGTTTTGAGTATCCGAATCGAAAACCGAACTGAACCGAAATGTATAAAATTTCCGGTTCGGTTCGGTTCGTACCTCGGTTCGATTTTTCGATTCGGTTCTGACACCCCTATCTGTACGCCCTTCCAAGGGAAATGGGCCCTGTACCCACCACGGAACCCTAAATGAAGACGTACCCGCGTTGTCGCAGCCCTGAAACGTGTTGTAGTCCGCCAATCCACCGAGGATATCCGTAGTTGCGTTTATCTTGCAGCCCTGCATATAATCTTGCTTTCCCAAGTCCGAAAATAATTCATGGTCGTGACTGTAGTTAAGAATGAATACTGCATTTTGAGTTGAAGAAATGATTCAAGGACCACAGAAAATTGAAGCAAATCGAAACTGTGCATGTGTAGCTTCATATTGAAACTTAGGCATGCGAATATGGAATAATCACATAATCTATTTTGTTCTATGTATCTTAAGGTACTCATTGATGATTTTGTTTATCAGTTATAAAGCCGATTCTTAAAAGAGAGTTTCCCAGATATGTTTACAAAGGAGCCAGTTGTATTAGAAGAGAGACTGTATTTTTCGGCAGTGGCCAGAGAACAATCTTCTCTAACCTAATTTAGACAGCTCGATTTTGTAGTCCGTTAAAAAAATCGCCGCTTCCGACTGCATAATTGATTGTTAACTAACCAAAACTCAAAGCTACTGCTCAAAAGCGGCATTCATCAGAAGGAAAGTGGACTCTCCTGTAGATGGTTCATGCACGGAATGGGTTGTTTCTCTTTTGAGATATGGAGCCTTCTCACTCCATAAGAAGAAGAAGAAATCTTGGATTTACCAAACACCAGGTAGTTGCCGTCATTTGGTTGGACTGAAATGAAATGAGAGCTTGCTAAAGCTAGCATTTGATAAACTCGAGTCGACCATTAAGAGAGTACTTACAAATGAAGTCACATTATGCAACTGCATTTTTAGTTGCAGAAAAGATTTGAAGTTCACAGAACATCGAATCAAATCCAAGCTGCATCTATTGACTGCTACTTTTGAGCGGTTTATTGAAGTACAAGGTCAAAGCCAGTGTCTTGACTGCAGTAGTGAGACTAGAGAAAGGAAAAGAATCCAAAGACTGAAGCTTTCCTTGACGATTTTTATGCTACTGGACTAGGCATCTTCTCTCTCCATCCATCTCCATCTACGAAACTCGAGCCGATAAAGTGAGACAGCTCTTTATCTTCCAGTTTCTTCATCCAATTCACTCTCCCGGACATGCTCGCTCCGGGTCCATCACATTCTATTTCTGCATAAGTTATGGCACTCCTGGAAAAAGGGAAACAGTTTCAAGAATTACTAACTCAAATCAAATTGATAGATGATCAATATAAATCAAGAAAAGTAAGGCGGAGGACAATATTCTTACTCCTGGCCCGCTTGCTTCCATGAAAACCAACCTTCGGGAACGATAACATTGGACATGGATGTCTTGTAAAATATCACCGTCGAGTATGCCTTGTAAGCTCTTCCAAGGTACGATTTACCATTTCCTGTTATGTTGCAGTACTTGAATACAAAACCATTTGTTTGCGAAGAATCCGACCGGCCTTGAGCAGTGATGTAACCTGGACCGCCTCTGAGGCGATCAGCTACAGCATGAATAGAGCAACCCTGCGTCAAATTAACCTCCTTTTAACTTTCTTCGTCCAATGTACTCAACTGAAGAATCGACCTAATGTGTTTTTAAGTACAGCTGATGCAAGAAATTTCAGGTATCCCAACTATCCCGATTGCAACTAAAAACAGTTTTGATAATATGGAACGAAAATGAAGTAAGGGGAACGATCACAGGTTGGAACCTGGTACACGGATTGCCCACTACCCCAAATGAAGTCCATTGCACTTTCGATGTAGCAGGAATCAAAGAAGTGGCGACCTTGAGAGTCGGTCAGTGTGTCCTGAATGCTCACAAAGCCGCATTTGTAGAACAATGCCTTGTCTCCCATTAACATGGCCGCCGGTGCCCACGTAATGTTTCCAGCATCGTATGTATTCTGTCAATTAGAAAAATTCTCCAAAGTTAAAATAATCAGAAGTTTAAGAGATCGATCCAGGCCAAGACATAACCAGCGATGATCGAATTACTCGAACAACATTCCCTTTACCTTAATAGTTAAATGTGCCGCCATAAAATTATCTGCGAACAATGAGAAGGTGGAGCTTTTAGTGACATCTCCAGCATCTCCCCACCGGATCACAGTATTACTTCTGCCTTCTCCTTCAAGGTATATGAATTGTCTCTCTTTTGTTATTTGGACCTTTTCGCTTCACAACAAGAGGAAACTAAACTAAGCTAAAGCAAATCAACATACACTGCAGACTGATGCAAAGAGATGCTGATTGGAGCGCGAAAACATACGTGTAAGTATCGGCCTTAAGATGGATGCATATCCAGGCATTGTTGTTGAGCGGAACGGAATCGACTGCTGCTTGAACTGAAGTGAAGTTTCCATCACCGGACTTGTCGACCGTGATTGTGCTGTCTGCCTTGAACGACTTCGGCCTAAACTTCAAGGGGTGATTTCCCCCCTCCGACCCATCAAAACATACCAATAGAGCCATCAACAAACGTCGTAAATATAGAACACGACGCGTTTTCTAGCAATTATAGTGAATGATACTGAACCCAAAAACTGCAAAGAAGTTGGAAATGCGTGAAGATGGTGCAGAACTTGTTTTGCTCGAAAGGGTCCAAGGATTCACATCTTTTATAGGTGCATTGCAAAGTGTAATCAGAGAGACCAAAGAGAAGAAAGAGGGAGAGTTAATGGCAAGTTTTAGGACCTAGATCGATCCAAAATGTTTCCATCTTATTGTGCTCTCCTATAGCAATGTTAGATTTAGTTAAAAAAAAATAGAAATGTTAGATCTTTTAATAAAACTGACACTGTTATAATGAGAAAACATTTGTATCCTTTCCCTTCGGATGAGGTACTTCGAATCATGTCATGGTTCAATGTTTGTAGCATCATAATTAAGACGATCATTGTCTGATAGTGGAGTTCGTTTAAGGAGCGGAAATAGGTTGTTGGTAAAAATTGCATGTCGAGCAGAATATGTCCTAAGTTCAAATCCTCTGCACCTCCCACAGCCATCCAACGGCCCATGTTCGTCCAACCTCCTAACAACGAAAAAAATGTTACACCTGGTTTATGTGGATCAATATCATAATGCACCAACTTAAATAAATAATTTATAAAGAGAAAACTTAGTAATCTCGGAAGGTCCTAAAAATTTGAACTTATCTCGGTTATCAAGTAAATAAGGGCATTTGTGCCTTACCTCTTCTTCGAGATCTTGAGTGGCCTCTCTCTGAGTGTGCTTTTGTCATTAGATTTTCGCATAAGGAATAATTAGGTGACATAACGCTTGATCCTTTCTATAGATGATACGAACAAGTTCAATATCATAATTAAGTTATTTTTAGACCTCAAAAGTAGGGCTGAGCATGGTTCCGGGGTTGAACCTGGAACCTGAGAATCAGACCGGTGTGAATCTATCCGATTTTAGGTTTTAAGGTATGCGGGATAGATTCTAAGTTCAAAAAATTGAGGAACCTGTTTTGATGGACAAGTTCTAAGTTTTAGGTAAGTAGAACCTGGAACCTGGAACCTAGAACCTTGAACAAGTTTTTGTATTTTTCATGATATATGTCTTCGCGTGATCATGCGGTATTCTATGGCGTTCGATAATGAGTGTATAATTTGTAACCACTAGTCTGAGCTTCTATTATATGATTGAGACTTTTACTTTGTTAATGTTTTATATTTTTCGTGTGTCTAAATATAAGTTGTGCTCAGTAAATTATAGCAGTAAATGGTGATAATTAAAGGTGATGATTCGCTGCAATCGTTTAATAAATAATAAAAGTGGAACCCGAGTAGACCCTAGAACCAATCCTGGAATCTGTGACATGGTAGGTTCTAGATTCCAGGTTCCAAGGTATGCAGAGTAGGTTCCGGGTTCCAAAAATTAAGGAATTTGTTCCAATAGGTAAGTTCACCTGGAACCTGTTCCAACATATAGGTTCACCTGGAACCACTCACCCCTACTCAAAAGTGGATATCTAGTATATGTTCAGGATTTGGCACATTTTTGTAATAAAGATATATGAAACACGGTATGTGCTCCGCTCAGAATTGGTGGTAGAGCAAGTTTGTAACTATGTCACCAATCTTCCCTAAAATCAAGAGTGGTTCTACGTATCTTGAATTTAACTTGCCGCATCTGCCAAATCATATAAGACCATTCATAGGAGTAATTTTCGGGAACACGCGATCTCCTACACTAAAGTTCAATCCGTGCTATTAAGGTTTGTGTAACTTTTTTGACGACTTTATGTTGCTTTGAGACCCCCTAAGACCAACCAACTTTCTCTTTTGATTACTTAATAAACTCTTGAATATATTTTCACCAACATCATCCCAAGAAATAGGAGTTCTATTTGTTTGACCCTACAAAGCTTCAAAATGAGTCATCTTAATGCTGGATCAATAGATATAAGAAATGCCGCCAAGTTTAAGTGTCCATCCCAAGAGCTACCAAAGTCAATAATGCAGGATCTCAACATATCCTCTAAGTTCGACAAAAAAAAAACATGTCCTCTAAGGTTTGAATCGTTCTCTCTATCGTCCATATGTATGCAGGCAAAAAGTTGTACCATAATTGAGTTTAGCATCCAACTCTTCTTGTAAAGTCCTCCAAAAATTAGACATAAACATAGTCAAGCCCCATTTACAAGTTACCTAACACATACACCAACCAAATTCAATGGTTAGTTTCTTGTTCTTTTTTGAAAAAGAAAGGAAGATATCTATACTCATAATTATCGAGGAAGTAGAAGTCTAATACATGGAATTATTTAGTCAGATATCATGGACTTCGTTGGGTACGGGTCACCTATGCTGACTCTCTATTGTTTGCAAAATTGAAATGGCCATTTTGCTCCCTTGGACCAACTCCACTAATGTTATGGAAAAAGAAAATGAATCAATAAATTTAATTTAGCAATGACAAGCATGGTCCTTCTTAACCCATAGTAATTACATGAAACGAAATGCAGTTTCTGAATTGAGCAGTGAAAGCATGAAATTGATAGATAGATTCAAGTTGCCGAATATGCAACCTCTAAACGATTACCTTCCCACAAAGGAGGAACAACTTTTGGTAACATACGACATGCCCAAGTCTATGAATTCCCAATACATGTATACCTTCGGAACATTTTATGTGGGTCGATTTTGTCACTTGGAAGCACCTAAATAAACTAATCAGATCATAAACAAATGAAACGAGAGATGCATGGTCTCTGCAGAAATTAAAAGGGTTGCTTCTGCAGCCAACCGTCTTGATTGATGAATGTCTTGGCATCGATCAACCTATCCACCTCCTCACTTGACAGGGTCTTTTGCCACTTGACTCGCGTGGACATGTCCGCCCCAGGCCCATTGCATTTGTTTTCTGCGAAGGTTATTGTCCCCCTGTTCATCAATTTTAAAGAAAATAAGGCAATCAATAGACATTTGAATCAATCGACAAAGTCATAAAATTGCTATAAATAGAATCACATCAGTGTTTATTGATAAACTTCCTTACTCTTGACCAGCATATCTCCAGGAGTCCCATCCCTCCGGCACCACATCGGTTGAGAGATATGACTGGTGAAACACGACTCTCGAGTATTGCCTGTACGCCCTTCCGAGGTAGACGGGCCCGGTCCCCCTCACAGAACACCGATGGAAGATGTACCCACTAGCGTCCGTCGCGCTATTGCGGCCCTGAGCCGTGATATAGCCTGCCGATCCAGCTAGAATATCCGTGGTTGCATTTATCTTGCAGCCCTGCATATAATCTTGCTTTCCTAAGTTCTAAAGTAGGTTATGGCTGCAACCATAATTAGAGAGAGATAACAGGTTTCACTTATATTATTTTTGTGTTTGACCTTATAGATGGATTGGCCGCCGCCCCATATAAAATCCACAGCACCCTCAATGTAACATGACCTGAAGTAGTGACGCCCTCGAAAGTCTGTCAGTGTGTCTTGCACGCTTATAAACGCGCATTGGTGGAATGAGACTTTGTCCGACGTTATTTGGAACGCCGGGGCCGGCTTGATCGAACTAAAATCTCCGCGTTGTGTCATTTCATTGTAGGTGTTCTGCCAAGAATTCCATATGGGTCAAATACTCCTCGGAATTTGAAATAAACGGAGTAAATGTTATGTATAATCAATCAAATTTTTACTGAATCAATCATAACCTGAAGTACATGAGGTCGACAGATGTACAGAAAAATGGGAAATGCATGAGATTAGCTACTTTTCAAAAATAAAAAGTGGATTATACTAATGAAGGGCAACTCTTACCTTGAATCCTATATTCCTGGCTTTGAAATTATCCGCATAAAGCGTGAAGGTAGCGCTTTTATTAACATCACCAGCGTCGCCCCACTCGATCATGGTGTCACTTGCCGAGTTCCCTTCGAGGACTATGCAGGGCTTGTCACCAGGTACCACAACCTTTTCTCTGCAAAAACCATTCAACATAACATCATTTTTTTTTAAAGCTAACTTAGTCTCATGAAAAATCACATCCTTTTTAACCTACTTATAAGTGCCAGGCTTGACAATGATACGAGTCCAGATGTTGTTCTCCGCCGGCACGGAGTCGATGGCTTGTTGCACCGTAGTGAACTGTCCCTGGCCCGACTGATCGACAACAATGGTCACCGAATCTTGATTTTGATCGCTACAGACTTGGCTATAGCTAACCTTTGACAGGCTCAACAAAGCCAATAAGAAAGTACTTAGGAATGAGTACTGCATTTTGAGGTAAAGAAATGATCCAAAGGCCAAAGAAACTTGAAGCAGATTGAGGCTGTGCATGTGCATGTAGCTTCATATTGAAACTTTGCAAGCAATATGCGTTACTCACAAAATCCATAATATCCATAAATCATAAGATATTATCCTGTTATGTGATTCCTAATACAATCGTTCTTGATTTCGTATCAGTTAAAGGCAACTAATAAAAGACTACCTCCCAAATATGGTTAAGAATGAATTCCAAACTCAATAAGAAAACAACTGTAATATTTGTTCACAGAGGAGCTAGTTGTATCAAAAGAGAGAGTAGTTGTTTTGGCAGGGGCAAGTAAATAATCGTTTCTAACCAAATTTAGACAACTAGAGTATATTCTCTGTCAAAGATCGCGGTTTCCGACCACGTGATCGATAAATTTTCAAGAGCACTTGATCCTCCTACTATCCACTCTGCACATTTTATGATCCGCATAATTTTTTAGAAGACTTTCTGCTATTTTGAGATTCTTCTGAACCAACCTGACTTCCTCTTGAGATTGCTAAATTAACTCTGGCTCAGTGACCCTATTTTTACTAACATCATCTCAACAAATAGAAACTCTGCATTGACCATATAAAACTTGAAAATGAGTCATCTTAATGCTGGAATCATAGCTATTGTTATACAAATACTCCTTTAAATGTAAGTGTTAGTCCCAAGAGCCACCAAAGTCAATAACGCTCAATCTCAACATGTCCTCCGAGGTCTGAATTGTTCTCTCTAATTCTCCATCTGTCTGCGGGTGAAAGCTAGTATCATAGTTGAGTTTAGTATTTAGTACCAAACTCTTGTTATAAACTCCTTCAAAAATTAGAAATGAAGAAAGTAAAATCTACTCGATTTCAAGAGTAAATCTACTCAGTTTCAGATTCATAATTTTCACTTACCAAATATACTACACTTTAAGAAAACTAATCACAAACATTTTAAACATGTACAAGACCAGCAAAATGAATCCAACAATCACCATATCCACAATATTATAGCACATCAAAATGGCATAAAAGTAGATTGAAGTAACTTAACATCTAGAGTTTTCACTTACCTCGCGCAAGATCTGAACCATCCAAAGTTAAAACCACCTTATAGGTCTTGGATCGGAAAGTGGTGTAAGTAAAGTATATTTGAAAGTTTGAAGACGAAGAAGAGTTACGGCCAAGATGAACAATTTCCTTCGGTGTTACCAAGGTTACAGTGATGTGGAGGAGAAGATTTTAGATGTAAGAATACATGTAATCATATGTGGCAACATCTCACTCAATTGATGGCCAAATGTAAGAAGTTCAGATATAATTAGAAAGACTAATATTCAAGAGTGATGGTGGCTCATGGTTTGGTGTCAAATTAATGCAAGAGGTTGAGTTTAAGAGTGCATGTGGCCATGCATGTAGTCTCCAACTGCCGCATGAGTTTAACGTGTCTTAAGAGGTGTTTTTGTGAGAAATTATAAGGGAAACAGAACTCCTTCTACCTTTAACACCATATTGTATTGTATATAATTAATTATTATCACTAATTAACGAAAGTTTAGATTAATAATATCACCCATCAACTATTAAGACGACGGTAAATTAATTAACACCGCTCTACTATTAACGTATACATCAACGTTTATAATTTTAATTTTCAAATACGTCGAACTCGGAACGATTACGTTCTCGAAAATCATCCTCTGCGCCTCACAAAATTTACGATCCAATTAAGATTTCTACGTGTCCACCCAAATTCTAAGCTAAATAATACTTAGCTTTAAAATCTAAGTATCGTTATTGAACACGGAAAATTTCCAATATCACATAAATATTATTACGAAATTTTCGGATGTCACAATTTTCATGCGGATCGGTTTTGTCACGTGGGAGCGGCTAAATAAGCTAATCAGATCATAAACAGATTAAACGAGAGATGCATGGTTTCTGCAGAAACTAAAGGGGTTGCTTCTGCAGCCAACCGTCTTGATTGATGAATGTATTGGCATCGATCAAACTAGCCAGCTCCTCACTCGACAGGGTCTTTTCCCACTCGACTCGCTTGGACATGTCTGCCCCAGGCCCATTGCATTGGTTTTCTGCGTAGGTTATTGTCCCCCTGTTCATCAATTTTGAAGAAAATAGGGCAATCAATAGACATTTGAATGAATTGATAAACTCGTAAAATTCCTATTGATAGAATCACATCAGTGTTTATTGATCAACTTCCTTACTCTTGACCAGCATAATCCCAGGAGTCCCAACCCTCCGGCTCCACATCGCTTGAGAGATATGACTCGTGAAACACGACTCTTGAGTATTGCCTATACGCCCTTCCGAGGTAGAAAGGCCCTGTCCCCTTCACGGAACATTGACTGAAGACGTAAGCGCTGGCGTCTGTCGTGCTATTGCGGCCCTGAGCCGTGATAAAGCCTGCCAATCCATTTAGAATATCCGTGGTTGCATTTATCTCGCAGCCCTACATATAATCTTGCTTTCATAAGTTCCAAGATAGTTCATGGTTGCAACCATAGTCATAGTTTAGAGAGATATAACGGGTTTCACTTATGTTATTTTTGTGTTTGACCTGATAGATGGATTGGCCGCCACCCCATATAAAATCCACAGCACCCTCAATGTAACAGGACTCGAAATAGTGACGTCCTCGGAAGTCTGTCAGCGTGTCTTGCACGCTTATGAACGCGCATTTGTAGAATGAGACTTTGTCCGTCGTTATTTGGAACGCCGGGGCCTGCTTGATCGAACTCAAATCTCCACGTTGTGTCATTTCATTGTAAGTGTTCTGCCAAGAATTCCGTCGGGGTCAAATATTTCTCGGAACTTGAAATGAACAGAGTTATGTTATGCATAATCAATCAAATATTTACTCAATCAATCATAACCTGAAGAACATGAGGTCAACAGATGTACAGAAATATGGGAAATGCATGAGATTAGCTATTTTTCAAAAATAAAAAGTGGATTACACTAATGAACGGCAACTCTCACCTTGAATCCTATATTCCTGGCTTTGAAATTATCCGCATAAAGCGTGAAGGTAGCGCTTTTATTAACATCACCACCGTCGCCCCACTCGATCATGGTGTCACTTGCCGAGTTCCCTTCGAGGACTATGCAGGGCTTGTCAGCAGGTACCACAACCTTTTCTCTGCAAACACCATTCAACATAACATCTTTTTTTTCTAAAGCTAACTTAGTCTCATGAAAAATCACATCCTTTTTAACCTACTTATAAGTGCCAGGCTTGACAATGATACGAGTCCAGATGTTGTTCTCCGCCGGCACGGAGTCGATGGCTTGTTGCACCGTAGTGAACTGTCCCTGGCCCGACTGATCGACAACAATGGTCACCGAATCTTGATTTTGATCGCTACAGTCTTGGCTAAAGCTAACCTTTGAGAGGCTCAGCAAAGCCAATAAGAGAGTTCTCAGGAATGAATACCGCATTTTCAGGTAAAGAAATTATTCAAAGACCAAAGAAACTTTGAAGCAAATTTAGGCTTTGCATGTGTAGCTTTATATTGAAACTTTGGCAAGCATTATGCATTACTCACAAAATCAATAACATGCATAAATCACAGGATATTATCCTGTTCGGTGAGTCCTAATACTCTAATTTTTGATCTTTTATCAGTTACGAAGCAAATGCTTAATGTCTACCTCCCAAATATGGTTAAGAATGAATTCTGTATTCAGTAAGAAAACAACTGAACAATTTGTTTACAAAGGAGCCAGTTGTATCAAAAGAGAGTTGTTCTTTTTGGCAATGGCAAGAGAACAATCTTTTCTAAATAAATTTTGACAACTAGAGTATATCATTGCAACTAGGCAAGCAATATGAAGCTGTGCATGTGTAGCTTTATATTGCAACTAGGAATGAATACTGCATTTTGAGGTAAAGAAATGATTTCAAAGACCAAAGAAACTTGAAGCAAATTGAAGTTGTGCATGTGTAGCTTTAGATCGCAACTAGGCAAGCAATATGCGTTACTCACAAAATCCATAATATCTATAAATCACAAGATGTTATCCTGTTATGTGAGTTTGAAGACAATCGTTTCTGATTTTGTATCCGTTAGAAGGCAAATGCTAAAAGACTACCTCCCAAATTTGGTTAAGAATGAATTCCAAACTCAATAACTCACATATTTGTTTACAGAGGAGCTAGTTGTATCAAAAGAGAGAGTTGTTTTCGGCAGGGGCAAGAAAACAATCGTTCTAACCAAATTTAGACAACTAGAGTATTTTGTCCGTCAAAGTTTGCGGTTTCCGACCGCGTGATTGATAGATTTTCAAGAACACTTCATTCTCGCACTAAATTCTACTCTGCGCTTTTTATGATCCGGATAAATTTTTTGAAGACTTTATGCTATTTTGAAATTCTTCTTAACCAACCCGACTTTCTCTTGAGATTGTCAATAAATAAACTCTGGACCAATTAGTTTATTTTTACTAACATCATCCCAACAAATAGAAATTATGCATTTTCGACCATATAAAACTTGAAAATGAATCATCTTACCGGTGGAATCATTGCTATTGTTATACAAATACTCCTTTAAATGTAAGTGTCCGTCCCAAGAGCCACCAAAGTCAATAACGCTCGATCTCAACATGTCATCCAAAGTCTGAGTTGTTCTCTCTAATTCTCCCTTTGTCTGCGGGTGAAAACTAGTATCATAGTTGAGTGTAGTACCCAACTCTTCTTGTAAACTCCTTCGAAAATTCGACATGACTGAGGTCAACATGTAGCCCCATTTACAAGTTACCATTAAGATTATGCATACACCAACCAAATTCAATGGTTAGCTTCTTTTTTTCTGGAAAAAAAAGGAGATATCTATACCCACAATTATTGGAGATCTAGATTTCTAATGCATGCATTTGTCCAATCATAGATTATGGGCTTTGTTGGGTTCGGGTCATATTTGCTATATATCTATTGTTTACAAAATTGAAATGGCCATTTTGCTCTTTTGGACCTACTCCACCAATGTCGCGGAGAAAAATCCCAATCAATTACATTTTATAAATGAGTAGGTATGGTCCTTATTAACCCGTACTAATTAAGTGAAATGAAATGCAGTTTCTGAATGGGGTAGTAACAAATTTTTGGTATCATATTCATATTCCAAAGTTTATAAATTCCCAATACATACCACTTTTGAACTTTTCATGGGGATCAATTTCCCCTCTTGGAAATGCTCCAAAAAGTAAATCATATTATAAGAAAAATAAAGTAGGAGATGCATAGTTTCTGCATGAGACTAATGGCCTATTCGGTAACCGGGCAAACAGTGCCTGATTCTATTCTTTTGTTCCTCGGAACAAAAAAAGAATAGAAATCCGTTGGGTAAATTTTTTGTTCCCGGGCACAAATTTATTCCCAGAAACAGTTTTGGAACACAATCAAAAAAAAAAATTGATTCTTGATTCTGGGAACAAAAATCAGAAATAGAAGAGATTTTTTTTTCTTTTTCTTCTTTCCTAGCCGGCAACCAGCGATCGACCACAGGCCAAGGCCGTTGAGGGTGAGGGCTAGACCCTTGCGGCCTGGGCGAGGGTCGCTGGCCTTTTCCAGCCCTCGCCCAAGCTGGCAAGGGCCGCCGTCGAGGCTCACGGCCTGGGCGAGGGCGGCAGCGATGGTCCAGCCCTCGCCCAAGTCGCGAGCCTCGACGGTGGCCCTCGCCAGCTCGAGCGAGGGCTAGAAAAGATCGGCGAGGGTGGCCCTCGCCTAAGCCGCGAGGGCCGCGATGCTGTTGCCGGTCCTGGCCTATGGCCAGTCGCTGACCATGGCCAAGAAGGAGAAGAAGAAAACAAGAAAGAAATATTAAAATATTATTAATAAAAAGAAATGTTGTGTAGTTACCAAACGCATTTCTGTTTTTTTTCTATTTCAGGAATGAAAATTTTGGGCTGTTAGCAAACGTCTTCAAATGCTTAGAAATTATTTCCGGAAACAGGATAAGAAAAAATCATTTCTAAGCAGAAATTATTTTCGGGAACAGAATAATTACCAAACGCACCCTAAAAAGATTGCTTCTCCAACCAGCCATCTCAATTTATTAACGTGTTGACATCAATCGGCCTATGTAACTCCTCACTTGATAGAGACTTTTTCCACTCGACTCGCTTGGACATGTCAGCCCCAAGCTCGGTGCATTGTTTTTCTGTATAGGTTACTATCCCCCTGTTCATCCATTTTGAAGAAGATGAAGCAATTAATTGCCATTTTAATAAATTAATTTAATCATCATTTCTCTTAATAGAACCACATCAAAGTTTTAGGACTCAATTACATTAGAAATAAAATGATTTTTTATCATTATTAAATCTTGGGAAAATTCCAAATAAGGGCTTAAAATCCTTTCATTTTTACAAATAAGAGCTTAAAGTTGACCTCATTTCAAATAAGAACCTGAAGTACCTTCATTTTCTCAAATAAGGAGTTGAAATGGATCTTGTTTCAAATAATGACCCGAAATGGTCATGTTAGTCTCAAAGAAGGGTCTAACCTCATCGGCTGGTCAAGAACATTTTTGTCATTTACTTTTTTTTCCTTTTTTTTTCTTATTTTTCTATTTTTTTCTTTCCTTTTCGCCGGTAACCGGTTTTAAGCGATGGCTAACCACAGGCAATACTCGAAGTAGGGGTGTGCAAAAGAACTGGGACCCGCCCGGACTGCCCGAGACTGCCTGGAACCGGACCGAAACTGGTGGTTCCAAGGGAACCGATGGGTACCAGTCCGGTTCCCGGTGTGGAACCGCCCATTCGGACCGGACCGGTAATATAATAATAATTTATTTATTTTTTAAATTTTTAATTAAAAAAATCTAACCAAAAAAAATTTTAAAAAAAAGAAAAACTAAATCCCTAAACTAACATAACTCTCTGCTCTCTCATCTCTAGACGCTCAACGACTCAAGTCTCACGCTAAGCTGAGAAGTGAGAACCTCATGCTCACTCTTATCTCCGACTCTTCGGCCTCGACTCCGTCTCCGTCTCTCCAGCCTCAACTGTCAACTCCTGATGGCCACACCTCTGGCCCTCGCTCTCGGTCGCCGTCAAGTAAGTTCAAATCCCTAATCTTTAATCTATTCACTAAATCCCTAAATCTGTAAGTTGTAGGTTTGTTTGTTTGGTCAATCTAGCTCAAAAGCTCTAGAAAAAATAAAACCCTAAATCCTTAACCTCTATGTTGTTTGATTGTTTGGTCGGTCTAGAGAAAAGTTTTGATTAGAGGGCTTAGTTTAGTTGGAGAATGGCTCTGTGAATAGCGATCGGTCGAACTGTAGGACCAAACTTTTTGCTTTTCTTTTGAGAATCGCAATGCTAATTTGAATACACAGGGTCACTTTGTTATCTCATGTCTAAGGTTGGTTCGTATCTGAAGCTCTTGTGTAGTTGGGATATCGTGGTCATTTTTCCCAATCATTGATAGGTATCCACTTGATTTATGGATGATGTGGTTAATAGAACCGATCATAGTGTAGGAATTGTATGGAAAGTTATGTTCTTTTCTTTTTGTTCTGTTGATCCGATGTTGGTCCACATATTTTTTTCATATGTGATTGGCTTGGTCTATTTGGAGTATTGAAAACTCTTAAAGCCTTTTGTCTTATATCTAAAGTTTGGCCTGAATTTTGTTGATACTATTCTACTATTCTTCTTTTTTTGCCAATCGAAATCGACTTATATTTTCCCTTTTTATCCGGGCAAAGTTCAACCTTTTTTTCCTCTGTTTTTGTATGATATTTGCTGTGCTTTGCTTGAGCAGGTTGTGTACAAGCTTGGAAAGTTGTAGATGGCAGTTTTGCATGAGACCATTTTAGATGGAAGTGCATGACTTCTGCATCGGACTAGTGAAATCAAATGCCAAAGTAGGAGTGTTATGTGTATACTGAAGATACATCACACATGTACATTAAGGTAAGTCAAAGTAGCATATGGTGAACACAACCCATCAACGGGCAAGAATTTGACCAGTCCATTTTTTTTTTGTCCAGAAAAACTTGGTGAGACTGGTTCCATGGACCCACCCGGGAACTGGACTGGTGGGTCCATGGAACCACCCGGGAACCAGACTAGTGGGTCCATGGAACCGACGGACGGTTCTCGGTTTCAATTTTTTGGAACTGGTCCTTAATGGGCAGTCCACGGTTCTAGTGTGGGAACCGCCCACCCGGACCATGCTCAGCCCTAACCTGGAGAGGGCCAGGCGAGGCCACCCTCAAAAGCCATAGGCAAGGGCTGGCCTTGCTTGGGCGACCCTTGCCGGCCACTGGTAAGATCGGCCATCGCGACGATCATCTCGCTCGCGGCCCTTGCCCATGACTTGATTTTGTGTTAAGGTTTTTTTTTTCATATTTTATCTCTCTCATGTGGCGTTAATGTTAACTAATGTATCAAAACGATGTCGTTTTTATCTAAATCTTAATGTTTACACAAAATCTCAATTACATTAGGTTAAAATTTCAAAATTGTTTTTCATGGAAAAGAGACACTCAATAAAGAAAAAAAAGTTCAAACTTAAAAAATACACACAAAAAAAATTCAGACCCTCCGCTTGTGACAGCCACCCCTTCGCCGTCCTCCCCCTTGCGTTTTTTTAAAAGAAATTTTTTTTAAAGTTTTCAATATAATTTTTACTAAAATTTAGGTTAAAATTGTTTTTAGATGAAAATGCCATTGACTGACCGGAATATGTAGCCGGTTGGCGAGGTGAGACCCTTATCTCAAAATGCCATGACCATTTCAGATTTTTATTTAAAAATTTTATGATTACTTTGAGCTGTTTTTTTAAATAAGATCTATTTTAAATCCTCGTTTTTTTTGTTCTTTTAGAGGAAAAATTGCAAAGTAATAGATATATTTTTTTGGCTCATCCTACTTTATTCAAAGCATAAAGCCATCGAAAGCTCCCAAGCCTCCTCCCATCGCTTCACCCTTCCGCTGATGATCCAAGCAAGCATGCAAGCAGAAAGCAGCCGAAACGTGTCTGCCGGAGTTGACGAACGCAGCTCCAAGTCCAACGGCCGAACATCCCCGTACGTCGCCGCCGCCGCCAAACCTGTCGAGGATGATCTGTTGAGCGACCCGGACAAGTTCTACGCGAAACTCACCCAGTTCTTCGAGTCCACTGGACTGAGCCTCATGTGAGTTTCGAGTCTTGCTCTCTCTTCTTGTTCTTCTGAATGCCCATTTCCCCAGAAATGGTGCCGCGAAGGCAAAAGTTGTTCTCTTTTGTACGCGTTCAGTGAAAGTTTTGGTTTTGGGGGCATAATTGAAAGAGGAGAAAGGAGTTGTGCTCTGGGTACTTTTGGTTGTTTCTTTGCTGAGAAAAATGTGAGAAAAATTGGCGTAGAGAATCTCCGTATCGACGAAAAGGTCTAACCTTTGTCCCCCCCCATTTTCTTGTTTCTTGAAAATGGGCTTAAAGTTCCTCCCTTTTCGTTTTCCCTTTCGAGTTTCTAAGGAAGTTTTAGGACAACTTAATGCATGGCGTTGTGAATTCAATTCTAACACTTCAAAACGGCAGCCTAAATGCCCGGGAAACAACCTTGGACTTGTTTCAGCTGCACAAGGAAGTTGCCAGAAGAGGAGGATTTCGCCAGGTGAAATCTTTTTTTTTCTATTTTGTCTGATTTACGGGCATTTTCTTTTTTTCTTTCTTTATTTGTTCAGCCCCATGATTTTCGACATCGTGGGATCATCAACTCGCGAGGGACTTTTGAGTGTTCGCTTCCATTTCCATCATTGATTTGACGTTATCTGCTGTGTTTAAAATCGGTTAATCTTGTGGAAGAGCTAAAGTTGCTATTGTCTGTGCCATGTGCTTAAAATTTGTACTAGAAGGCCATGTTCAAGTAATGTGCTTTATCTTTTATGTGGCACGAGCTAGCTGCGTGTTCTCGTCCAGACAATCTGATGAAACACAATGAAGACCGAAGTACATTGTGCTTATTTAGGAGTATCATCTGCAAAGGCACACTCACATGGTTACAAGTTGTTTAGCTGCTGCATGTATTGGTGAAGTCCTGATACCCCCAATTTCTAGAGCTATAAAGATCGACCATGGATGCAGGCTTGAGATTGCTTTTCAACATGTAAATTTTGCACGACTTACTCTTCATTGTGCTTCGCAGATTAACAAAAGGGGCAAATGGGACGAGATAGTCTCTGCCCTTCAATTGGAAAGCACGGCTCCCACGATAGCTACTCAAGTTCAAAGGCTTTATGCACATCTTCTTTACAACTTCGAGCAGTCCATCGCTAGGACTAGGAGTGCTCCCAAACCGCCTGCAGTCTCAGACTCATTCTCAGGTATCTGTTATATTTCATGAATGTAACTGGCTCACGGGGCTTTACATAGAACATGGATGTAATTGACTTACAGGACATTTGAAATATAAGAAGCTAAGGTTGAAAAACTTCCCTTTGTCTATATAGAAAAATTGATTTGAGTTCATGTGATGTATAGTGTTGTGTGACGACTTTGCAGGCTTTAATTCTTCGAACAGCAAGAGCCCTGCCCTCAAGCGGAACAATAAGAACAGTTCTTCTGTGCCGATTGATTTAGTGGATCATCCTGAGGAGAAGAAGTTGCGCACAGAGGCTATCAAATTGCCAACAGGTGAGTCAATCTTTTAATTGCACAAGATTCTCTCTTGCATACTGCTGGTTGTCATTTAATTAAATTGAAATTAGGCAGCATAGTACAACCTATTATTTTTTTATGCATTATATTATGGGATATCAATTCATATGTGTGTCAGGCCATCTAGTTTAAGAGTATGAAAGCAATCATTTCCTTGGTTTAGCCATTAAAGGAGAGGTTTATGCTTAATCTACAACGGCTGTCCACTTTTGTGACTCCTTCCACTTCCTTTTTTGGAAGAAGCAACTGTTTAGCAGTCATGTAAATGATATTTGAGGTTTGTTGTAGTAATTTAACTAATCACTATCAGCTTGTTTTTTCTTCACTCAAGATTCAATCATCTTCCTTTGTTGTTATATTGAGTTTACCTTTGTGGAGCTCTGGTATTGTTGGACATGGCTGATATTCCATATGATTTGCCATGTAACTGTTTGATTAACTTTCTTGTTAGTTGACTTTATCTTTCAATGGTAATTTCAAGATCTGACTGAACCCCTAGGGGAATTTGTAGAATTTGAACTTACATCTGAACTTACATCACCTATAATATGGTAAAATTCGAATCACAGTGGAGACCATGCACGTTATTATCTCTACTCTCTGATAAATTTCAGCACATTTTTAATGTAAAATTGTCAGAAGTTCTGATCTGCATGCTTGTGCGTGTCTCATCACAAAAGAAGAAAAAACGGCTCAGGAGATGGCAGCGAAGCTTAAGGAGCATATGAAAAACCCAAAAGCTCCACTTGCGACACGGAGTGCATATCAGCTCTTCCTCAGCAAGGAATGTGCTCGGCTAAGAACCCTCCGAGGAGAGAGTCAGGAGGGCCAAGATATTCTGAGGGTGGCCATTGATGCATGGAGACAACTTACTGAGAAAGAGAAGGAGGTACAAATTTGCGAATTTTGTTATATTATTAGCTGCACATGTCTGCTGCACGACACCACTTCTGATATTTCTGTCCAACGTAAAGTTTTTCTCCTTGTTTAAGAATCCGAGAGGGTATGATTCTGCAACTTTTACTTAGAGGTTGCGTTCATTCTAAAACACTAGGTGATCTTTGTTTGGATAATGCATTTGCAGCCATATATCGAGGAAAGTATAAAGGATAGGGAAAGGTACGAGCAAGAAATGGCTGCTTTCGCCGAGCAAGGGAAAACGCAAGATAAGGTTACCAAGAAAAAGAAAGCCAGTTTCCAGAAAATGCAAGATGAGAATGGCATTCACAAGAAGCACCTCGATAATGTCTACAAAGTCGTCAATCTGAGCCCGTTAGAAGACCCCCCAGTTCCATGCGCAGATCAATCTGTGGTTGATATAGCCATGGAGATAGCAAAGAATGCACCGACAGACCAGCTGCTCCTCTTCAACTGGGACGAGTTTTGCGGTTCACTTGATATAGCCTGAGTAGTTGGTCGAAGAAGCAGCGATCTTTTGGTGGAGTTTGATTTCAGATGGGACCGAGGTAACCTCGTTAGTTCAGCTTCGAAGTTGACACTCTCTTTTTGCCGAGGTCTCACGTATTGCCAACTAGGAGTGTCTGTTTAGTTGATGATGGAGATGCAACTCTTGTGTCCACCTCTTAAGCTGCTCTGTTTCTTTCTTGTTTATATGATGCAAAGGACCGTGTCAAATAGCTCTGTACAGCTTTGGACATATCGAGCCATCAGTTTCTGTTATCCAATGGAAGGCTTAAAGATGCATCGAACAATGTAATATTTGCTTGCATCAATAGGTTCTTTTTTTTAGCATCAATTGGAGTGGTCGCACGAGGCCTTGCTCGGCGAAAGCAGCCATTTCTTGCTTTTTTAGCATCAGTAGCATCGGATGGGGCCAATTAGCAAAGTGTTGGAGAGCATAGAAAAGGGCAAGGGTTTCGGCTTTAAGGGCGGAAGATGCTTGGACTGGCCACGTGAGACCTTCCATCAATCTTCCTTATGAATCGCCGCATACGCACGCAATTGCCCCTTCCGTGGTCCTTGAGAGGTGAGATCCATCAATATTTATCTTGAGCAAACCGGAGTCTGTTGGTCTCCATTTTGGCTGTAAGTTTAGCGATAGTGCTTTGCGCTTTAAGTTGCTTTTTTTCCACCATGCGTAATTGCGATGCATGTTTAGAGCAGAGTCGATTATGCTAATTGGGTCTAGCTACTCGTGATGGAAGACAAAGGATTTACGCGCTATCCTTGATTAGTTATCTATTGTTGCTAACAGTAGGAGACACCATTTGATTTCTTCTCATGCCCCCCGTTCAAAATGGGCAAAATTGTTGCGGGAAAAATAGAGGGCAAAAGAATCCAAACCTCCAAAATGTCAAAACCTTTTGAATTCTGTGGCCAAAAATTTTCAAAATCTTGGATTTGCTCTCCAAAGGACAAATTTTGAATTAACATGCAGGACATTTCCTTATTTTTCTTTGTCTTATGCGGGGGACGCCACTGTCTTGGCATGGCTGTCGTTTTGAAAAGGCTAAAGAAAGAAGAGAGAAAAAGGGGATCCCTCCATTTGCGCAGCTAACCATACCCCATCAATCAATTCTCACGTAATCAAATATCTCCACTATAAAAATCCTACCTTTAAGCCTTTCAGGACATGCTAGAACAGCCCCCCCTTTAGAGAGAGAGAGAGAGAGATTGTAATAAAGAGAGTGCCCCCCCTTAAAAGGAGGCCAGAGGGTATACAAAGATGCGCTTTGCATTTTAAAAGAGAAGGAATCAAAGCTGCACACACTTCTCTAGAGAGAGAGAGAGAGAGAGAGAGAGGGAAGTTGGGATTGGAGATGTCGGGGAGGTGGTCGGTGACGTCGCTGCGGTGGCTGGACTTCTCGTTCCCGCTCCGATCCTCCATCTTCCGGTGGCCCCAGCTCGTGTCCTCCTACTTCACGGCCGCCCGCCGGGTCGGCGGCGGCGGCGATGGCGGCGGGTGGGGCTTCCCCCGGTGGTGGCCGGCGGAGCTGGGGCTGGGGCTCTCGATCCTGGACGACGTCGTGTGGAGCCTCGTGACGGTGTTCGAGTCCGTGGCCCTCGTCTCCATGCTCTGCTTCTTCTTCCTCTTCTGCGGATGCACCATCTAGACCCCGCCGGGGGCGGCGAATCCGGCGCCAGCGCCGGCGGCAGGCGGAGATGACGATGGCGGTCGGGACAGGGACATGCGAGATTTGGTCGGGGATCGGTAGATGAGCTGGAGCACGTGCGGCACGTGCGGTCTCTCTTTTTCGTTCTCTCTTGTTTTTTTTTTTTCCATCCTTTTTGGAATTAATTTTGCCTTTTTTCCCCCCCTTTCTCCATTTTCTCTTGTCAAAAGTTTTGGTTGCTTTGTCTCTGCTTTTCAATATTTTCTTTTTTTTTTTGCTCTTTTTTTTTTTCATCCTCCTCCTCCTTGTAATATTCTTGGGTTCTCGTGAGAAAATTCAAACCTTGGCTTTGAGTATATAATTTCCTTTGTTTTATTGCTAATTAAGTCGCGAAGGAAAAAAGAAAAATTTTAAAACTCGGGATCTTTAGATGGAAACAAATGAGGCACAATTATTATCATTATTATATTATGAAATTAAATTAATTCGGAGTACATAGCATCGAATAGGACCGTTGACCAATCCGCCTCAACGGCTTAAGATAATTGATTAGCCAAATAAAAAAAGAGACATGAAAATCATGGTTGGCATCTTATCACAGCTTTGAACAACGCATAAGTTAGAAAAAAAAAAAAAAACGTAAGAGCGTGGCACGTGCATTGCAAGATTTGGAATTTGTCTAATTTGGGCATCAATAATAGGAGGTTACATTTTTTCTTGACGGTATTCCTACTCGATATCGTTCGACATCGACCCGCCATCTGTATCGATCGATAGCGAAGGCATTTGATAAGATCGAACCGATCCCGACCAAATACAAAAAAAAAAAAGAGAAAAAAGAGAAGATCGAACCGATAATTTTTTGGAAATTCGCTCGTGATTTTTCTCGTGTAGTCGCCACTGTTACCGACAATTCTCTCGTGCCGTGAAAATGGGTTGTGTCGCGTGTAATCGTCTGTAAAATCACGATAGCCCTCCTCCAAAGCCATCGCCATCGCCATCCTCGACTGCGAGGGGAAAGGTTTTCGCGGACTGCGCAATCCGATTCGTTCGTTCCCGTCCTTTCAAGACTCTTCTCCAGATCGCCTCCGTACGCCGGTAGGTCCTGTTTCTTTGGCGGGTTCGGTTCTTCTTCACTCGTTCTTTCCCATGAAGTTCTTCGCTTAAAGAGGCTTTTTTTTTATCTTTCTGCTGGGGCTGGGGATTTCCGGGCGGATTGTCTGGATGAGGTTAAACGTGTGTGTTTTGAGATGGGTTCTCAGTTATATTCGTTGAGAGCTCGGTAACTGGTGATGGGATTGCTCGAGAGCTTAACCAGTGAAATGGGCAATGTCTTCTTGATGATGATGATGGGCAGTTGCGCTGTGGCGTTTTAGTTGTTTTCGTGCCGGTTTGGGAGTGATTTGATTCTGATGCACTTAGTTTTTTAGTCTTCGGGCCGGACCAGAGAGTTTATAGCATTGATGATTTGATGTGGTGTGGTTATCTGTGGGGGTTTGAGGAGGTGTTCACTTTATGCTGGATTAATTAACAAGCTGTAGCTTTAAAGATTCTCATTCTCATGTTGTCGAAGCAAAAGTTCGGGATGCGCCAATTTCACATTTAAGGACATGTTTTCTCTTGCAGTGTTTGTGTAGTTAAGGTGGGAATACCGGAGTTTTTGCGATGGATCGGTGGAGGGGTCGAAGCCCATGTCGCGAAGCTCGAGTGGGAGATTGGTGACTTCAACAAGTTACTCGTTTCCTGCACGCTCAAGCTCAAGAAGCTCGGCATTCCTTGCAAACAGGTAAGCTAAACCCTTCGATACATAAAATGGAACTAACCATTTTTTCCCCTCGCCATAGGTTTGGGTCATTTTGCTAGTAGATGAGGATGATCTTGCTGGCATGTGTATATGCATTAGATAGTTTGGAGGAAGTCATGTAAAAGTGAAAGTGTTGAATGGACTCATGGGTTTGCTCATTCATTCTGGTGTATTCCTTATGGTTCTGGATCTGAATAATGTTGCCACGGCAATTGTCTTCTATTGTGCTCCTCTATGATGTTTCTTTATTTGGCATTCCATTTTATTACTCTTACTGTAGTTGAATCAATGTCGAGAAGCGCCAGCTCCATCTGTGGGTTTTAGACACGCAATCAGTCTTAAAGAATATAACGATATGATTTACACTCTTTCTGAAGAGCACACTAAGAAGTTGTTCATTTATGCAGAGGAAGTTGATATTGAAGTACACCCACAAATATAGGGTCGGGCTGTGGAGACCTCGAGCTGAGCCTGTCAAAGCTTAACGACAGCGTTCCTGGCAAATGTAACGAAATTATATTCCCGAGCTTTGGTATGCACCTGCAGAATACATTCTGTGCTTGCACTAATCGCAGTAGCAACTTAAAATTGCCAGACAGGTTGTACTGGTTCAGAAAAATATCATGCCCTCGTACTGCCTTTTGCTGAAAAAAAGACCCTTTCGAACTCTCTTTGCACACACCCGGCGTTAAGAAACAAAATGGTACAGAAATGGCTTGTGGAAGCATCCATATTTCAAACTTTTCATGTGCTATGGACTGTGGAAACCCTAAAATGAACTTGCCTTGCGGTACAGTTGTCTCCTTTCTGTGTTTACTGTTCTGTTAAGGTCGCATGGAGGTGCAATAAAGAAATTTCAGTTCATTATCATTGCATGAACAAGATGATGATCCAACAAAACATCGCTCTAAACACCGCACAAACTCCATAGACCAACTTTTATTAAGCATAAAGCTAATCTTGCTCACGATCCCATAACTTAGTTTCTTAGAGAAGTGCAGTCCCAAGCTTGTATGAAGCATATGCATCAATACAAGCATACTCCACTTGGTTTATATTGAGCACCCTGGCCTCCCAGTTACTCATGCTAACATGCTTGGGCTTGTCCATGACAAGGCCCACCACCTCAAGCGCTAGATCCTTCAAGCCCGGCTTACGAAACCTCCCTGGCCAACGCAGTTTCGCCAGCTCGCGAACATCCGCGTGCTTCGCGCACTCCAGGCCGTACTCAACTTTGAGCTTGTCCACATCACCATCGACCTCCACCCCAACGAAAGTGAAGTTAGGGTCTCTGACAAAGTCCTTCAGCAATTCAGGAACATAGTCGATGTAGAATAGTTGAACGATCAGGCATCTCTTGTCGATGCAGAGCTGCAGGGTGGCGGTCTTGTTGCTCATCGACCGGATCACATTAGGCCTCCACTCAATGTCCAACCCTACAACGGTTGGGCTCCCGGTGTGGAGCGACAGAGTTTCTTGTATCCATTGGTTGACCACGGTTGCTTCGTCGGTCACGGTCGTTTCGATGGTTCTACCATCATAGGTGACATTGTACCTGGAGTTCGCGGGATCGAAGGCAGTATGGGTTCTCGTACGACCGGTACGCATCGTTCTCTTCTTCTAAAGTCTGTTTCCTGCAGATACAGTGTGCTCGACATGGAATGCTACTTATAATGAAATTTTAGGACTCTTGGTTGTCATTGTGGAAGAAACCCAAGAAAGGCTTTTGGTTTTTCGATTCATTCGCATTGATTCTGGGCGAGAAGTGCGATCGGTGATTGTGCATCCGTCTCTTCGATTTTGCAAATGTGTCTCTCTTCACATTATCGTTTGATTATCTATGTTTGATTCCTGTGCTCATCATTAATCCTAGGAAATTGCGTTCGTAGTGTTTTCATCATGAGTCCTACTTAGTTTCCCGCCATTACACCTTGAAGGGAAAAAGGTCAATGGCAGGATCAATGTCATGAGCTTACAAGGATAAATAGTTAATGGATCCTTGAAGCCTTAATATAACCAAAATAGAGGGGGCTCTTACTTCCTCCTATCGCGTTAATATGGTATATCGGATTAGCTCCGTACATGTCGCAATTAGGCGGTACGTCGGGACCAATCTTCCATGCACATTGGAATCAATCTGTCTACTTACCTCGATCAAACACGCGTCATGCATCCACACATGAGGACCGGAGATTATCCTCGATCGATTGCCTTCCTTCAAGCGGAAATAGAAAAACTTCCACTTAATAGTCGTTTAACCTACTCGATCGATCTCTCGAGATGGAGTCATGAGGGGTTTTTAGCCATATCCATTGATAGATAAACTCTCCGTAAGGCTAGATTTTGGTGAGCCTATCTTGTTATTTCCAAGATTACTTAGGTGAGCACGCGTGGTATGGTCAACATAAACGTCTCTCGACTTTGGGAAGAACGTTGACCCCACCACGTGAAGGGTGGGGGAGGTCAAACAAAACTTCGAATTTGGGCAGGCAGACAAGGAGGGAGATGGGGACAGATGAGGAAGAGAAACGTGTGCGAATGAAGGAGGCCACGAACGTCGTTGGGTGCGTCACCGCAGAAAGGTCGTCGCTATCTGCCAAGAATGCCATCCCCTTATCAGTTCATGTCAACCCACGTTTATTGTTCTTTTGCCCCAACAATCCCCTCCACAAAACATACCTAAATGTGGGTCATCACTCTGCCAAAATTTGGAGATATATATCCTCTTTTCTATTTTTAGGTTGGTTGTAATTATTCGAATTTTATTCACATATATCTTCGTTCCCATAGTTTCTCTTCATCTTTCTTGATTCTCAAATCTGCTGGTATGAGCACGCGGTAAAGCCGACTGATCGATAAAACAATGCTACCTAATGTTGTATACCGGTCTTGATTCAACTCAAGGAACCGGCATAGCCAAATTGGTTCCGTGAGTTCTTGATGCCGCTTAGGACCTGGCCACATCGGCCTCTGATTTGGACTTTCGGAAACGGCCCCCCTCCAAGGTAACTTTTCTCGGTTTCACTCCCCCAACGCTTGAACCCCGCCTGTTAATTCACTGGGACCATGCACGCTCCTACTTTGCCTGACTATCGAACTTAACATATACGGTAAACCAAAAACTCCATTTTCGAGAAAGCGCCAAAGAGAGGAAAATGATGCTCATATCATTTCACGAAAACGGCATATCTAAGAATTCAAGGCTAACAGAGATTCATCATCAGTTAGGTCCGCATTCAATGGAGGAATTCGGCTAAGGTCACCATCCCAACATGTCGCCCGGACTAACATTATGACAAAATCATTCAATTTTTTCACGTGTAGGGCGCGTCCCACGTACAGATATGGGAACACCAGAGGGGGCAGTGCTTGTAAAAATCGAATTTTGATATGTATTGTTGGAAATCCTAGGTGAGATAAAAATATGAAAAATTGAGAAAAAAGTATTTATTTTCCGACCCCGTTATTCTCAAGTTGTGTGTGACGGGGACAACTCACCTGAGTAAAGGCAAAGGTAGGACAAAATCTCCCGACAATATTGCAAACCCTAAATAGAAAATGAGACAAACTTTTTTCTTCCTTTGCAAGTGCAGTAGCTGTCCGTGATAAATAAGGGTCATTTGCATTTGTACCACTTAGTTTCAAGTGAGCATAATGTATCATATTTCAAGGAAAAGGACAAAAAGGAATTGTTCTTTCCTTGAAAATTTGCTGCTTTCAAGTAAATATCGTGCATCATATTTTGAGAGAGAGTGAGAGAGAGAGAGAGAGGGGGTCGGTCATTGAGTAATTGTATGTTCAACCGTCCTAAGCCTCCCTAGGAAAATGCATATGAACCTTTTGCATTTTCTCGCGCTGCGAACATGTTTAACGTGCCATGTGAACAGAAAATCGATGCATCTGCCTAATAAGTCCTCTTCTTACTGCACCGCGTATAGGCGGGCGGCGAGGGGGGTTTACAACCCATGTGGGACGTTGCCGGTGGTCGCTGCATGTGCCTCGATTCGAGTCACGTTTTTGAACACGACCATTGACACGCGGAGTGATGTGATAGTTTTTAAATAGTAATTAACACGAACAGACCCTATTCGGATGCATAGCAAATCTTTAATCGCTTTATCGTTTTCCAGATCGGTCGCAGCATTAATCATGCTGTCTAACCTGTAAATTGTAAATCGAGATACATGCCGTCGGTTAAAGAAAAGAGACATGCTTTATTTTAACAAAAAGAAAATCACATAATGGGTTGTTTAGGCATTAAAAAATATCATGCATTGATGACTTTAAAAAGTTTGAAACACCCTCTCTCTCTCTCTCTCTCTTCCTCACATCACATGCAAGTCACTTTGGGGGGAAGAAGGGGTGGGGTAGGGGGAGCACATGGCAGTGTAGGGCCATGGAGGCACATGTTATGGCCACTGTGCTTGTTTGTGTCATCACTCATGCAAAACAACAAAAGGGAAAAAAAAAAAAAAAACAAACACCCCCCAAAAAAATTTAAGAAGCAAAAGAGAGAAATCAAAAAAGATAAGGGATAATGACACAAATAGTCCATGAACTTTGACTCAATATGCAATTTGGTCCCTAAACTTTTAATTTGTTCAATGTAGTCCCTGAACTTTAACATAATGTTCAATTTGGTCCCTGAACTTTTAATTTGTTCAATGTGGTCCCTGAACTTTTAACATGTGTTCAATTTAGTCCCTGAACTATATGAAAATGTTCAATATAGTCCCTGCACTTGAATTAATGGAAGGACTATATTGAACATTTTTAAATAGTTCAAGGACTAAATTGAACACATATTAAAAGTTGAGGGACCACATTGAACAAATCAAAAGTTCATGGACCAAATTGAACATTAGGTTAAAGTTTAGGGACTACATTGAACAAATTAAAAGTTCAGGGATCAAATTGCATATTGAGTCAAAATTCAGGGACTATTTGTGTCATTTTTCCAAAAGATAAAGGGAGGGGGCCAAATTGCTTGCCACATGACATGCTGCCTATCCACCTTTGTCAGCCGTCTCTCTCCCCCCACCACCCAAAATCAGATTTTGTCAACTTGATTCGCCCTTGTAATCTTTTGGGTCTTGGTTCTTGCTTCTCTCTCTCTCTAGGATGGGTTTACACATTAGCCATCTTTATGCTGTGGTTTGTATTACTTCAAGTGGGAGCAGCGACACCAGTTGCCTCGACTCTCAAACCCGTGTCTGAAAGGGTTTCTTGAGATGAATTCTTTGGTCCGAGGGCAACGATGTTATTTTGACTAAAGAATGCTCTCGATGTGAATCGAGTACTCTGGATAAGCTCGACTGCAGGGGTTTTGTCGACGAGTGTTCCTGGGGCACCCGGTAATTGTGCTCAATAAAGAACAAAGTTCCGATTTTCGATGTATTGGCCACACATAACACGAGAGAGCCGATGTTTCGTGAATGGATTGTGGAATGTAGCGTATCGATTTGGGATTGGAAATTGTCTATGCTTTCCATTCGATCCAATGACGTGATTTTGATGATGCTCTTCAACCGCAAAGTTTGACATTCTCGACCTCACCACCCACACCCACACGATCCTGTCATGCTAATCCCCTCCTCTTTCCTCCCACCCCCATTTTCCTACTACTGACCAAAACAGATGAATCACATCTCACCGAGCCGAGGACAATGCCCAAAACAAGACAACCAGACCAGACCAGAGACCAAACTTGGTCGTCTACAAAACGCCCACTTCTCTTTGTCGGTCATCGACACTAATCATCACGTCGCAAACCCCCCTTCAACTGAGTTAAAAGGGCAATCTCAGGCACTGAATACTTACTGATGCAGCAAAATTCTAACAATTGAATCCGCAATCACACATTGAGGGTCGCACTCATTGCTCCCTCGAAGTCCAAAAGCTCGTCGATAAAAAAAAAAAAAAAAACACGAATCATGTGGGCTGTTCTGGGCAAATGCCTGTTCAAACAAGTGAACCATCTATCTAATGAGTGCACTTTGCTTTCATTAGTTTTGTTTTCTCAAATCGCGGGCCCAGAGGTGTCGCCTTGACGGGTTTAATCTCACCCCTTCTTCTTTTTTTTTTTGTAACTTTTTTTTTTCGTGTCACGACATTTTTATACTTAATTACGACATCACATCCTAATAGTAGAAGGGCGTTTTCACGGCGACCCGGAGCTCAAAGGAAAGCGATTAACTTAGGCTCCAAATCAATGAAGCTTTTTCTTAAGCAAAAGCCGTGGGGGTGGCCAGTCTTGTCTGAGCCAAAAAAGGGGGAGGAATCAAAGATTAGGTGGCATGCTAATCCCCCAATTAATCAAGGCTCCCTCCCTCCCTCCCTCCCACCACATTATCCGCTAATTAAAAAGGATTAAGCAATAGATTAGAGAGCAAATGGGAGGGAGGGAGGGAGCGAGAGAGAGAAGAAAAGGCCATGTACATAATAATAATAATAATAGAATAGAATAACATGAAAATTTTGATCCTCTCATAAGAAGAAACAAAGGTTGAAAAAGGAAAAGTGGAAAAAACATTACAACTAATGACACCAGCTTTACGCCGGCGGCGGCGGCGGCGGCTTCTTCCGGCTCAGCCGGAGCCGGAGCCGAGGCCGAGGCGGTCGCTCGGCGGCTGGGAGCCGGAGAGGAGCTGGGTGAGGACGGTCATGGCGCGCACCTGCATCTCGAGGGCCGCAATGTAGTCGCTCGTCTCCTCCAGGAGGTTCGACACCGAGATCCCCCGGCAGCCGGGGACCAGCCGGCCGAGCACCCTCACCCGCCTCTCCGCGGCCGGCAGCCTCCGCTTCCCGCCCTCCGGCCGCGGCGGAGGCGGCTTCCTCAGCCAGGCATGGCCGGTCGGGGCCCTCGCCTTCTTGTGGCGCTTGCCGAGCCGGCTCATCCTCAGCCGGCTCGCCAGGATCGCGCGGCTCCACCGGGTCCGCCCCTTGGCCGCCGTCGCGAGGACCCGGTCCACGATCCCCCGGACCTCCCCGGCCCCGGACGAAGGAGGCGCAGGCGCCGCCGCCGCCGCCGCCGCCGCCGCGGGCTCCGCATCAGCGCCGCCGGCGGAGGAGGAGGAGGACGAGGAGCTGCTGCTGCTCCGGCGAGATCGTGACAGGGCCTCGACGAGCTTGGCGGAGTAGAGCCGCTGCTGCGCGGGTGACCTCCACCTGATCTCGCTCCCCGCGGCCGGCCCCCTATCCCGGTCCGACTCCTCGGCGTCGGCTTCGATTTTCCTCCGCTTCTTGCGGTGGGCATCGGCCGCGGGGTCGGGGTCGGGGTCGGAGTTGAAGGCGGGGCTCGAAGACGCCATGGCGGGGGGACGACGACGACGACGACGACCTCCTCCGGATCGAGGGAGGCTTATCTCCAAGCCGAAACGAACCGAGGGTATTCCGAGGCGAGGAAAGAAGGGAGACCCAGAAACGGGAAGCGCGGGGAAGGCGGGAAACAGAGCATAAACAGGGGAGAGGAGAGGAGAGGAGAGGAGAGGAGTACCTGGGAAGGCGAGTGACAGAGGTGAAGGTAGAGGAGGCGATGATGATGAAGAAGGAGGAAGATGAAGATGGAAGGAAGGAAGGAAGGAGGAGAAGGTGGGAAACAATCACGAGAAACCACGCGGCCGAAGAGGGATCACATTTTAATGGGGGGGCGGGGGTGGTTTTTCCTCCTTTATTTATATTCGGAATTTTCTTTTTATAAAAAAAAAACATTTCGAATTATTCTTTTTTTCTCTCTAAAAAATATTTGATTTTTTAGGAAACTATTTCGAATTCAGCCTTTTGAGTTTTTTTTTTGTTTGATTTGGTTTGATTTTTTTTTTCCTCTTTTGGCTCGGGGCGTGTACATTGCATATGAAATTTGTACTGCGGGGGGGTGGTGGATCTATCGATTTGGATTTTGTTCGGAACTCCACTCTCTCTCTCTCACTCTCTCTTTCGCTCTATTTATTTAACTCATTTATTTATTTATTTATTTACGGAGATATTCGAGAGAATCAATTTTTTCATCACTGCTCCATTTTCGAAAAAATCAAAGTTTTCGCCATGATTTTTCCAGGAACATACTTATTTCGATAATCTATTGGCTAGTGGGCGCTCGATTGTACTTTACTCGCTTCGGATTTTCCGAGAACATCAACTTGTAAACGGTTGGTTTTTAACGGGATATCTGTTTATGTTATTAAGTCAAAATGTCGTGTCGTCTCGCTTTTCGCGATTTCCAATGTGGTCCTTGACATTTCATAGATAAGCATTTACCGTATTCTTTTTATGAGTATTTCCTTTATTTATTTCGGCGACGTCCTTCTTCAATTATATATGACGATTTTCATCTCTTTTTAGCCTAATCAATGATGAGTGTTTTTATCCAAATCTATGATAAGTATTTTTATATGTCAGAAAAACTAATTTAAATATATGAGATTATCCAGTTAATTTACAAGAAAATTGCTTTAAATTTAATCGTAATTTGCTAATTTTTATTTTATTTCAACTTTAGATGGTTAGGCTAATTAACTAAACACAAGCATGTAACTGCAATAACTTTAGATGCTTAATACCACCATCGTGCCAAGACATGCATTACGAGCACGAGTGATTATGGAAAAGTTTCAAATAGGGGTTCAAAATAGAGCCATTTTCTCAAAAAAGGATCCAGAGTGGATTTTGTCTCGTATAAGTGCTTGAAATGGCCAAATCGTCTTAAATAAAGGTTTAAATTGGCCAAATCATTTCAAATAAAGACCCGAGCTCGTTGGCTGGCCAAATTTCTTCCAAAGATGTTTCCTTTCTCTTCACGCATAATCGATTGATGATCGTTAAGGACTAGATTCTGCGCTCGAATCGGCCGAGGTCAAGCCAAGGTCCTTAAGCCTATGCCCGGGGATGAGACCCCCGAGTCTGAGCTTGGGATCGCTTAACTCTAGTGCCCCAAACCCCCGCAACCAGGCCTAAGTTGCTAGTGCTTACTCTTGGGTCCCTCAAGGCCGGGACCAAGACCTAGTTTCAGTGCCTAGGTCCTTAGAGGCCGAGCCTAGTTCAACGGAGATTGGACTAGAGACCTCGATGGCTAGGCTTAGGCCCTAGAGACCGGATCTAGGACCTCTACACTTTGGGCTCGGATCTAGGACCTTGACACTCTAGGATCAGGTACCCAAGTACCCGAAGTCGGGATTTGGGGTTATATTAGAGACTTTTTTCTCAAATGTGTGTTTCATAATTTTCCTATAACAAGTATAAGAAGATGACTTCCATTTTATTTGCAAAGTACATCCAAACGTTGAAAAAAAACATTTTAATTGAAAATATGTTCCTTTTAAATTTTTTTCGTTAAAATCTATTTTTCGATGAAATAGATGTAACCTTAATAAAAAAAGAGAGTGCTTGGTCATTTAACTTTTAGTTTAAGGGTTATTTTGGAAATAAAAGAAAGTAAGATGAACTTCAGGGTACAATGTGGTCTTTGAACGACTTAATAGTAAAATTTACTTTGTCACTCTTTTGATTCCAATTGTTTAGAGCAAAAGAAGTAACGACATGGGTGGTTCACAGACATTAATGTTCAATGTAGTATCTAAACTCTTTTTTTTTTGTTCAATCTGATTTCCTAACTCCTAAAAATCCGCTCAATGTATCATTCCGTTAAGTGAATTGCCATGTCACCTGCACTTTTCTAACGAGGATGATGCATAAGCATCTATTGCTCTAAAATAATGATGTGGATTGGCACATTGTTTTCCCCGGTCAACGTATCTATATTTCCTTCTTTCTTCCTTTTTAGCTATGATATATATTAGGAGTGAACATGATCCGAATGGGCAGTTCCTACCATGGAACCGGGAACCACCCACTAAGAACTGGTTCCAAAAAATTGAAACAGGAAATCGCCTGTTGATTCCATGGATCCACTCGAAAATCGGATCGCCTATTCAGTCTAGTTCCTAGGTGGGTCCATGGAACTGGTCCCACCAAGCTTCGTGCCAATGGAGGTGACCGAGAGCAAGAGAGGGAGGCGATGAACGGCCGAAGGCGCGGTAGTGAGTTGAGAGTCAAGGCCGTGAGTCGATGGGCGATGAGCTAAGACCGTGAATGAGAAATAGAGAGGCGACTCGGACAAAGTGAGAGTGAGACGAGACGAGTACTTAGTTGATGGGTGTTGAGCTTTAAATTAGGGATTTTAGGGTTTTCATTTTTCTTAAAATGTTTTCTTTCTTTTTTTGGTTCGAAATTTTCCGTAAAAATTATATATATATTATCGGTCCGATCCAGGTGGGTGGACGGTCGGTTCCACACCTAAAACCGAGAACCGGACCGGTATTTACCGGTTCTAGTAAATTGGAACCAGGAGCCGGACCAGTCCCCACGGGAACCGCCGGTTCCGATCCGATTCTGGACAGTTTCTGGTTCCTTTATACACCCCTAATATATATAAGTCATGTGAAACTCGTATGTGCGTTACATAGATGTCAGCATGACCAATTCAACGTTAAGTTAACAAAAATTATGGTCATGTTAGCGAATAGTATTAGAATTTCTAACATAAAATTTTTTGAAAGTTTGAACAACCCGTGTGGTTATCACCCAACAAAAGATACAGTGATTATCAATGCAGATACAGACAAAGATATGCTCATAGAACAATATAAGTACATATTTAATGTCTTCATTTATAGTTACATAGAACATTGTAGGGCCTTTCTTAACTATATCTACTCATTGTGGATACTGCATGGTAACTTTGGCTATAAAGAGATATAAAGATCTTTTTTCTTTTCTTGCCATGTGCCAGAAAAAGTTAAGAGAATGTGTGGTCAACCCCTTTGTAAACATGTGAAAGTCACTTATTGAAGTTAAAGAGATTACGAATCAGAGTTATTGGTTTAACCCCCTTTTGCTTTCGATTAAGTATGTTCTACATGTCAATCTTCAAAATGAAGAGTCAAAAAGAACATCAATAAAATAACTTATCTTCAGAAAGGATTGGTTGTTCATCCTTCTTCATCAATGTTCTTGTAGAATTATGTATGGATGTGGTCAACCAAATCATCACAGAGACAAGTAAACTATTCTTGTGAATCATAACATCCGCCATCTTTCTGTGATGTTATGATGATCCGCAATGTGTTATACTGAACCAATTATCATGTTCAAGCCATAGAAAGCTAGAATCAATGAATTTTAGGAGAATGATTTCGTAGTGATCCGTTTCCGAGAGGCTTATCTAAGTAGTAGCTAGGATTGAACCCAAGACTTTTTTTTATTCTATTGTTTTGGCCAAGTAAAAAGGCGAGAAAAATATGGCAATCGGTACTAGCAACACTTCCGGTACACAGTTCCAAATTCAACGGTGGAACTGTTACTTTGCCATGTTAATTTACTCACGGTATGTTGCTCATGAGACTTAGAAAACTTTGGGTTCTCTTTGTTGACTCATCATAAATGTACCTCTCACCCTGGCACTTGGCAGGGGAAACATATGTTTTTGTACTTAACACAAACCTTGGACCCACCTCTGTGAAATGTGTGAATTTCGGTGGTGAAAATTGATTGCACGCCACTGTCCAAGTTGTACTTATTGGAAGGGTGAGAATGGTAGCTACACAAGTTACTTGACTTGGTCCATGAATCTTGACAAAATCAAAAAGGATTAGAACTTCACAAGAAACCTGATCCTTTGACACCCATGAAAGCACCTACCTATGTGTTCACAATCATGGGGCAACATGGGTTCGTTTCTCTTATCGTGTCTTGCAAGGTGGGGTGGAATTTTTATATGTCATCTCTCTCTACCCCTAAATTCTTGTCCTTTTTTTTGGGGGGAAATTGGATTTTGATGATGTGGAAAAGGGTGATTGGGTAGAAAAAGTGGTGGTGGCTTGCACTAATTGGGGCTGGGTGGTGTGTGGTGGGGCTGCTTGGTGCTTTGTATTTATGTGGGCAATGATTAGGGCAAAGAAACAAATAGAAAAACAGAGAACATAAAAGAGAGGAGGAAGGAGATGAATGCATGTGGGTTGCTTTCATGACACTTTCTATCAAAACAATTTTGCCTCTATTTTGGCTTTTTATAAAGCATGTGTTTTGGACTCACCTGGCCCTTTTTTCCTTTTGATTTTTGATTCTCGATTTTTCATTTGTTGCTGGGTGTGGACAGGTTTCATCCCCATTGCTCCTGCATCGAGTGCAGGCTTCCACCTTCTGCCTTTTCCTCTCCATTCTTATCACTCCAAAATCTCTCTCTCTCTCTCTCTCTCTCTCTCTCTCTCTCAAATTAGTTTCCTTCCAAGAATGAAAATGAATTATCAACATAAGTGATTAAAATCTAAAAGAAGAAACTGAAAAATCATGAACACTTTTGGCCTTCTCCTTGGAAAATCACTGTATACATCAACATGGACAGTTCAATCAATGCACAGTTTTCTATGATGTTTATTTGAGCTTAGGACAATTCTTTCATCTGTAGATTACTCATGGGGAGTCCACAATTTACGAACATCACAGTTAAAAAAAGAAAAAAAATGAACAGCTCCTTCTAAGGGAGAGGTGAAATGAGGTGAAAATTCTTAGAATAATTTCCACGTGTTTCAATCTCCAATAATAGAGCTTTTAGTGAATTATGTTAAGCC